CTGAAGGTTGCTTCATCATCGCAGAAGTCTGAAAGACCAAGGAAGCAAAATCATTGAGAAACTCTCCACACAGGGACAGGTGCCTGACCCTCCGCCCCCTAACACACCACCGCATAGTCTTAGGGTAAGCCCCGAGGCTGGCTGATTGCTCTACCTGTGACCCAGGGAAGAGCAGTGGCTGTCCTGGGAGTGAGCTGACTGCCCACTCATGGGGGTATCCTCCAGGGGGCTTTTCCTCCGGTCAGTTACACACAGAGTGAATAGCCAGGATGGTCTTAGAGTAGATGCCAGCAAGAGGGCCATTGGGTCGGGCAAAGGAAACCCAGCACGCTGGACCCTAACAAGCTGATTGGGTGAGACTAGCCAAAGACGGGAATCACAGGTGGAGCTGGCTGCAGGTAGCTCAGCCACGAACTCGTAAAAGCTCCCTGAGAAAAAAGAAATGTTTACACTCCTGCTATGAACAAACCATAAAGTACAAGGCAAATCCTAGAGCCAGCACCTCTTCTGTAGCAAGGCAGTGGACAACCTTGTAAATATTTGTGTCTTTGAGTGCATCTCCTTACAATTGTGAGAATCAGGGGTAAACAATTATCCAAGTTTTTAATTTGTGAACGACTACCATCACACGTGCTCCCAAACGCTCATCTATAAGTTAATAGAAGTTCAGGTTCTCCTCGGCACGGATTGTCCTGAAAACCGTGGGGAGGGGACCTTAGGTTTCGCATAACCTCACCATTCTCGGTTCAGTTCTTCATAACTCTTTAAAAAAAAAAAGATTTATTTATTTGTATTGCAAAGTCAGATATACAGAGAGGAGGAGAGACACAGAAGAAGATCTCCCATCTGTTGATTCACTCCCCAAGTGATTGCAACAACTGGAGCTGTGCCTATCTGAAGCCAGGAGCCTGGAGCTTCTTCTGGGTACAGGGTCCCAAGGCTTTGGATTGTCCTTGACTGCTTTCCCAGGCCACACGCAGGGAGCAGGGTGGGAAGCAGAACTGCCAGGATTAGAACTGGTGCCCATATGAGATCCTAGTGCATGCAGGTAAGGACTTTAGCCACTAGGCTAGCGCACTGGGCTCCTAACTTTTTAAATTCATCAGACAGGCTAATATTTTGCAACACAAATCAGATGCTTCTTCAAAACTTGATCTTTTTTGGTAAAATGCAGTTGCTCCCCAAGGCCAGTGGTTTCATTGGCATTTCTGATGTCATCCATGCCTTTCTCTGGGCTTCAGACATGTTGTCCATTTCTCTATCTCCCTAAACTTGCCTGGTTCTTTCTTTGCTTTCCAGTGTTTTCGAATGCTGTCTTCCACAGCAGGACCACACTTCCCCAATGTCTTTCATCCCTTCTTATCTTCTTACTGCAGTGTAAATGTCACCTGGACTCAGAGGGCTTTCCTGACTCTGTTCTAAAGTAGGGCTCTTTATAACTCCCCACATTGAAAATCGCTGAATTCCTTCCTACAACCATCTGTAACTGTTCAATACGTGTATTTTTTCTCTCCTGTGCTGTAACTTGTATTGGATGTGGAGGTGCATGTGTAATCTTATTGTGGACACTACCTGCAACACAGTTGGCACTCAACACTTGTTGGGTGCAGGGAAGAAAGAAGCAAACGCTGAGTAACTGAAGCAGACCTGTCCTGGGTTTTCTCCCATCTCATCTGGTGGCATCCTCCAAGTCAGTCTTCTTCAGCAGAGGACAAACCTGGCCACAGAGCAGGTCGCTTCCTGGGAACAGCCAGATCAGGCTGGTGTGTGCAGCCTCCCCTCGTTGGAGGCAAGGCTACGTACAATTCTGTGACACTCCCACCGAGAACAGCAGGCACCAGGGCCAAAGCTCAAGTTATTTTTGGGAAGGGCATTGGACAAGTGCCATGGCAGCCCCAGCCTTGGTGCTTTGTGGTACTTGGTTGGCCAGAATGCAAGCTTCCTTAACGAAGGCTAGGAACTGACTGCTTTGGAAGAGGACAGAGGTCTCTGGATTCCACCACAGGAGTTTGTGTCCTGAGCAGCCAAGGAGCCCTAGCGGCAATGATAATAAAAGGACATTGCCGGATGGAATGCAGAGGGCAGGGCAAGCGTTGTGTGTGTGTTTCCCTTGGAATGAGCTTCTGCTCTGAATGCAGCAGGCCGTGTTAACCCAGGATTGGCATTGGACTTCGCCATGCTACGGTTATAGGAAGGCCCCTTTTCTGTACATGGCATCGTGTGGCAGCAGATCAACAATGCCCGTGTGGGAGGAGCTCTTCCTAGCAAATGGATTCTCTTTGGAAAACACCTTAATTTTTCTTAGTTGAAACCATTTTAATGGGGGCAATGTCAGAAGCAGGCACCAGCATCAACTGAAGCCCTGGAGTGCAAGACCAAAGGCAGCAAGCAGTCGCAGTGTTGTGCATAGAGAATGTCAACGTCCACGCAGCCCTGACTGTCGTGTCTTCTTTGCTGTGTGTCCCCTGCCTGCTCCTAGCTCCAGCTCAGAGGAGTGTGTTACCTCTAACCCCAACAAGGGGGCTCACTTACTGAAGACAAAGCCCAAAGTGGCTTGAGCGCAGGTCTAAACCGCGGCAATAGTCGCTGCAGGTAGAGATGCTTCTCTGGGTCTGTCTGCCTCCAACCCCTCCTTCTCCTTTTTCGGGTTTGTTCTCAGCCAGGCTTTCCTTCTGGAGATAAAACGGTGTGGGCAGCTGCTGCCACACTTGACCTTCCTGTTAGGGCACAGCACTCCACGTTCCCAGCTATTCTGCCAAGGGAGTTTTGGTTGGATCTTCAAGTCCCATGCCCGTCCCTGGGCCAGTCCCAAGGTGGTGTGTGGCCGCTGACCAGCCTAGATCATGGCTTTAAATGTGCTATGGGAGTGTTTGGGCCCCACGACCACCCACTGCCTGGAGATCACTCAGAACTGGGAGCATGGAAATGCCCAAAAGACAGAGAATGCACCAATAAGCAAGGTCTAAGTGTGGAAAGTTGAATTAAAAACAGCGATTGACACCGCAAATGTTTTTTCTTTGCATCAGACATAAGTCCTGTGAAAGTGACTTTTGTGTGAGCTCAGAGCGCGAATGGTTGTACAGTGAGGCTTGGGTCCCTGTCTCCTGCTCCTTTTCTGGCATGACAATTCGCACAGGTGTTAGGTAGCCAGCCTGTGAGTGATAAATTTTGTGTAATTTGCATATATCTAAAGTTGAATTTATCAGGTAAATAAAACCACATGCTGAATTCAATCTTGAGATTTAAAAGCATTTTTCCCATATGGCTTGACATTTTCTGTTTGTTTCTAGTCTCTTTGCACCTCGTTTGCATGCCTGGGTGCCTGTTGTGCTCGATGCTGAGTATCATCGAGGGATTGATTTCTCAGCCTCAGATTTTGTCTTAATTATTTCTATGATTGTGAGCCATTCACATCTAGCCCTGTATGCCTTAAGACCTTCATTTTTTATTTCCATGATATTTTCGATTTGGTCTACCAGTGGAGTATAGCACAACCGCCTTCTATGAGCAGCTCTATTGCATGGCAACCTTGGAAATTATTATTATTGTTGTTGTTGTTGTTTAGTTTTAACCCTTCAGAAACTTTTTTCCAAATGATTTTACCATTTCTTCCTCTTTTAGTGCAAATTTTAAACTTAAATATCAATTCTCCTAGAATGACAATATGAACTAAGCAAATGATTTACTTAACAACAACAACAACAAAAGCTTTCTTTATCAGAATATCTGCTTCTGAATTGTTGGAATTTTAGACCAAGCTCTCCCAAGAGTCTCTTCTTGGACACCCATCGGGTGAAGTGACCAACAGCTGTGGTCGCAGTAGTAAGAAAGGAAAAAAGAGTTACATAGCTTTGGGGCTGAAAGGACTTCTTACGTCTTCGGTCCAACAGTTCACTTGAAAAGTGAATTCTTACTAATTTTGATCTTGCATCACCCAGACTTGGTCTAGCCACCTGCAGCGAGCAGGAATTGCCTTCATGGACAGTGAAAAGGAAGGCAAGAATCTCCCTTGAAAACTAACAGGTGTACTTCAAAAAAAAAAAAAAAAAGGTCCTGTACTGTGTTTAGGAGCAGAGCCTGTCACCATACACCATACACCTTCCTTCCATCCTGGCTCTGCCGGTGGCCAGCTGTGGGGCCTGGGGTATGTCCCAAGGGACTAACTATTGTGATCTCGCTTCTTTGTCTCCCGTGGATGCCCCTTCCTAACTCGTTATTCCTTTAACAAGGTTGGCATGTGCCCAGCAGGCTGGTGCTCCTCCAGTGTTAACAGCTCAGCTGTGTTTCCAGTGGGTAATAACTGTCAGAGGCACGTGTCAGATCTGGTTCCCCCTTTTTCTACCTTCACAGGCTACGTTTATAGCTGCTCATAAGGTGTAAACATGGTCTTCACCTGAGTGCTGCCTATCCCAAACGATGCAGGGACTCTGGGTAAGTGATCCTAGCAAAGGCTTTGGAAGTCTGCCATCCTTGGAGCCTTTCTGATACCCACTATGGATTCAGTGAGCACCTCTCCGAGAAACGCAGGCTCCAAGAGGAAAAAATGTGGCAAAGCCTGACTTTGAAGGGCGGGACCCTACGTGAAGGAAACCCGAGGAGGCAGTGACACCGTCCTGCTCTTTGTTTGCCAAGGTCAAGGCACAGCAGGGCAACACCATCTTCTGGGGTGGCGCACAGAAATTCAGCCCTGGCAGAGGCTTGAAAGGCGGCGGCTGGAAACAAGTGAAATTTCCTCCCCTCCAGAAATAAGCCGCGGGAGCTTCACCTCGGCAGGCTGTGGGCGAGGCCTGGGGGCGGGCTGGGTCGCATCCTGAGGCTGAAGCCAGGGCGGGATCTGAAGAGGAAGCCAGCGGGCGGGAGGGGGAGGTGGGCGGGCAGAGAGGAGGAGGAGAGCCGAGCGCGATCCAGTGCGTCTGCTCCAGGGTGGCCGCGGCGCGGCGCAGGGACCGGCGCGGCTCCTCCTCGCCGCCCCCTCCCCCTGCCGCCACCTTCCTCTCCCGCTCCTCCTTCTCCACGGGGATAGAGGCAGGGCTGGAGCTCTTAGCAGCCACCGTTCCTCCTGCTGGCTGGCTAGGGAGTCAGCTGACGCCGGCGCTCCAGCCTCGCCTCCTCGCGCCGCGCGCTCTGCGCTCCCTGTAGTGGCTGCAAACCGGCTGCCCACTTCCAGGATTTAGGGCGCAGAAAAAGTGATGTGCGCCTTCTAAAGCCTCAGCGAGCCTCAGCCGAAGCAGCTTCGTCTGCTCAACTTTCTCCCCAACCCCATACCTTCTGTTGACCCTGCCCTCAACCCTCCCCAAAGCCAGCTAGGGTGCGTGCGCCTGAGTACTGGCTGTCTGGGATGGCTTCCAATTTTAATGACATAGTGAAGCAAGGGTACGTGAAGATTCGGAGCAGGCGCCTAGGGGTAAGTATTGATTCTTTCCCTTTTTCATCTCCACCGGATCAATGATCTTTATCCTTAGCCAGCGTCCCAGGAGGTCCTGGCCACTCGCTGTTCAATTGCATTGTGGTTTTCTCCACCGAAATCGACTCTCCCGGAGCTGGCACTGTCTGGCAGGCGTCTGGCTGTGTAATGGATCTATCTTTATCTCTCGGATGACTTGGCTTTCCGTTGGTGGCCGTGTGTCGGCTTCAGTGGCCACTGGTGCCCATCCAGTAGGAATAAATATTTCTTGGTAGCCATGGGAGTTGGAGCTAAAAAACCGGGCGGAGGGCGCTGCACCTGCCGGCAGGCTCTTGGTGCCCCCTCTCTCCCCATCACTGTCGCCAACTTAACTTTTCTAGGGCATGGATAGCCTGGTTGGGGAAGGGGCACGTGCTCTTGGTGGGAAGTAGGTCAGTGGCCATGACCCTGTGGGAGAGATGAGTCCCTAGAGTGCTCTCTAGGCATGACGCGTGGTCGTGTCCCAGGTGTTGGCAAAGGAGGAAAGGGGCCAATCTCTGGTAGATGCCCGAATCTCAATTTTTCCTGTGCTTAGCCAGGGTGGAAAACACACATGAGTCCCCTTGGAAGATGAGTTAGTGCGGATCAGGGATACATAGGAACCGAGAGCGCGCGTCCTGTGTGTTACGAAAGCATGAATGAGTCTGAAGGTGCAAGTGTGGACTAGGGTGGCTTCCGCCTCTTCTGTCTTTGGTCCCTTCCTCCCCTGCTCTTCCTTGGTGGTGGTGGAGACTTGAGAACTTGCTCTGCTTGCTTCTCCTAGGGCTTGAGTGAGGGACCCGGAATTCTTGAGGGTGGGGGAGGTGCTGGCGTGAGTTTGCTTTCATTGTTTTAACTGGGGACTCCTGTTTGCCTTGGGGACAGGTATCCTTGCTGTTGCAGTGGGGGGCGGGAGCCGGAGCAAGGGGCTGGGTGAGATGGGGTGGGAGAGTAAAGTTGGTTCAGCAAGGCTGGAAGGAGTATCCTACTGTCTGTGGTGATGTACAGGGGTCCCTTCCGGGGGCATGGCACACTGAGCATCTTTCTCTAGCAGTATGTGGTGTTTGGGCTTTGAAATTTGCTTTTGTGTTTGATAATTTTACTGAAAATTGAAAACAATTTTCACAGTATAAAATTGAGCATATTTGAGTCCCTCACTCCTGGTTACTCTTAGCAGTCATGTCCTGTGTCATTGTGGATGTATAAATGTGTAACTAAGGAGAAATGAAACAGACCTAACCAGTCCCCTTCAGCTCTGTCAGTGTTTTCATTTGACAGGGCAACCAGTGTTGGGATTCTTGATCATGCAACCGCCATTTATATTAGGCAAGAAATTGTAGGGCCTTCTTATTTTTGATAACAAATGTCCTGGCCAACCATTACAATATTTAAAGAGAGCATTAAAAATATTCTAAAGTTAGATTTATTTCATCTGCCAATTGAAAGAATTGGTAGTGGACATTTATTCTGTGTTAAAGAGCATTCCAATAAGAAGAATACATGCATTATTAATGACACAGTATGAATAATTCATAAGAATCAGAGTTTGGGCCAAATTGCAACACATGGTGATTCATTGCAAAGACTGGTTACCATGACTTTCTAGTTGGTGGTAATTGACATTATTTTCTCTATATTATTACATTGACATAGTGGAGTCCTAAATGTTTGTCAACATTTATGGGCTAATATTTAAAATAGAAGGAGATGAAATATCATTCAGTCTAGATCTGGTTTATATTTTATAGCATTTCAGAAGCCAGTAAACAGTGTATTTTCTTAAGATTTTGTCTGTGTTGACACCCAAATAGATTTCAGAGTATTCAATGAATTATGGTTATTGCTTATGGAGAGGTAAGGTCAAATATGATAAGATGAATCTGGTTTTATTATTTGTTAACCGGTTTACTGCTGGTTAACTTTTTAAAATGTCATGAAACATAATTTATACAGTGGGCAGAGTATATATTTGTCAAAGCACTATATAAACTAAAGTTCCAATGGAATCTGCATTAATGGAGAAGGACATTTCTAGAAAGTGGCTTAAGGACCTGGTGTCCAAAATCAGGGATGTTAGTGATATTAATCTGGGCTGCATGTAGCCTAGAGGGGCATTCAATAGGTGTATTCTAGAAAAGTCTGGAAGTCTCCAGAGGAGAGCCCTGTGTGAGAGGAAGGCACAGAGAGGGATTTAGTAGGTACCGGTTGAAACAGGCTTTGGACTCCAAGGGAGTGCCTGACGGGCAAGTCATAATCCTCATTACGGACTAGTAGGACAATGGTTTTATTAATGGCATCCAGACAAGCATCTGTGGATTATCACCATCTTTGGGAGGGTTTATAATTAAACCAGAAAACAAGATGTTAGAGTGAGCAGCTGTTGTGCCGGGGAATGCTCCCTCAGGTTTGAAAAAAGAGGAGCCAGGGACACCTTCTGAGTCTGTTACTTGTTAGCGCCATGACCCTTGGCTTTTTCCTGGTCTCAGTCTTCTAGTCTGTACAATGAACACGATTTAATGCTGTTCCTCAGAATGTTGATAGAATGTTGATTGGTTTGTTGTTTTATTTGGTAAACTCAAATATGAGTTAGAATTGATGGAGAGATATAGAGATCAATTTTTTATTTTGTGTCAATTTCTTTTTTTTTTTTAAGATTTATTTATTTATTGGAAAGTCAGATATACAGAGAGGAGGAGAGACAGAGAGGAAGATCTTCCGTCCGATGATTCACTCCCCAAGTGAGTGCAATGGCCGATGCTATGCCGGTCCGAAGCCAGGATCCAGGAACTTCTTCTGGGTCTCCCACATGGGTGCAGGGTCCCAATGCTCTGGGCTGTCCTCAACTGCTTTCCCAGGCCACAAACAGGGAGCTGGATGGGAATTGGAGCTGCCGGGATTAGAACCAGCGCCCATATGGGATCCCAGGGCACGTTCAAGGCGAGGACTTTAGCCGCTAGGCCATGCTGCTGGGCCCGTATCAATTTCTTATTTTGGAAGTATGTATCTAAAGGCAAAAAATGTTTAAGCAGCTCTGTTTTTTTGCTAGATGAATCATCTTCAAATGAATGAGTATATTTTGCTGTGGTTTATGATTTTTCTATGGAAAGAATGCATTCCTTCAATACGAAAAATTACTTGCTCGTTTACTTTTATGTGAAAGGGCAGAGAGGTGGGCAGATCTTCCATCCTCTTGGTTGTTTCTCAGGTGCCCACACTGTCAGTGTGGGGCCAACCTCAAGCCAGGATCTCAGTGTGGGTCCCCCACACACTGACAGGGACCCTTAAGAACCCGAGCCATCACCGGCCGCCTTCCATAGCGCACATCAGCATGGAGCTGGGCCAGAAGTGGAGGAGCCAGGACTTGACCTAGACACTCTGCTAAGGTATGCAGGCATTCCTGATGGCAACTTAGCTGCAGCTCCATGACGGTCCTGAAGCAGAAAGCTGTATAAGAACATCTCTGTCCACTGGAGGTAAGTAGATACCTTTAGTTGATATCCTGAACAGTTTAATGATTAAATAATCAAATATGTACGGACTCTTTGTAAACTTGAAAAAGCTTGATGAAATTTTATTCCTTTAACTCAGAAATCTTAGTAAGTTTTCCTCCACATTCCGCGATCCCATTGGCTTACAGAGCTCTGAAACCGCGCTCTGGGTGCAGTGTCTGAAGGGAGACAGCAGTGTTACTATTTGGGGGTCCTGGCTTGGGGAGGACAGGAGCTATTTATAGTCATCTGACTCATCTACCAAAGGCACTAGCAATTTCTTCTTAGATGAGCAGTGAATCAAGCAATTTGCACATCACTCACCTACTGAATGTGTGATTTGATGACATCATGTGGGGGGACATTTTGAATCAATAATTGCCATGGGGGATGGGCATTTGGCCTCGTGGTTAAGATGCCAGCATTCCATATGGAAAGCCTAGGTTCAGTCTCCAGCTGCACCGTGGCTGCTGGCTTCCGCTTCCTGCCAGTGCAGACCCTGGCTGGCAGCAGTGATGGCTCAAGGAATGGGTGCCATCTTCTTGGGAGATGTGGATTGAGTTTTCAGCTCCTGGCCTCAGCCAAGCCCCAACCATCATCACTGTGGGTGTTTGCAGAGTGACCCAGAAGATGGGCAATCTCCCCTTACTCCTCTTCTGTCTTATTTTTCTGTCTCTCAAATAATTTTTCAAATTTTTGAAAACTCATCAAGGTTTATTCTGTTTTCTTTGTCTGTAGGTAGTTCCTCCATTACTTGTCATTATTAATTTATTAAACGTTTGTTTATTTGAAACGTAGACCGATGCTGGTTCACTTCCCAGATGTCTGCAATGAGGGCCACATGGTCCCCAAATCCATCCAGGTCCCTGCAGTGAGTGGGAATGACACAAGCACTTCCCAGCCGCCTGATCAGGAAGCTGATTTGGAAACAGAGCAACCGGGACGTGAACTGGCTCTCTGATGTGGGTTGTGGTCATCCCAAGCACTGACTTACCCCGCTGCGTTGCAGTGTCCTCCCCTAGTCATTCGTGTTTAGTTTTTCTCTGCTCTACCAAGATGTTATGAGCTTGGACCTCTCTGAACTACTCTGTAACATTCTCTGATTAACCCCGTATCTGTGCCAGCTTCTAATGGAATCTCAAAGTTGGTGTATCTGATGTTGGTGGCCTCAATCCCCCATCCCTCCACCCCCAGGGTCCTCTCAACCCCAGCCGCCATTGTCTCAGCATTTTAGTCACCCAGCTAAATGCCAGCTGAGCAAACCAACACTCAAGCTGGTGTCACTCTCTCTTCTCCTGTATCCCACTGCACAGCCAACCCATCAGGGAACCTTTGGCAGGCGCAGGGAAGGTCTGGTGCATGGCCCAAAAGATCGTTTGGTTTTGCCCGGCACAGAGTGCGCACTTACTGAAGATTTGTTGGGCAAGGGGGTGGATGAATGACTCCATCACCATGCAATGGTTTGAGAACTTAGGCTTGGGCATAAGACTACGT